AAGAAAATAGGCAACTCAAGGTTCACATCCATAGCAAATACACCCTCAACTACATCATTAAAGGGCCCCAACCGGTGGCCACAACATGGCATGGAAAACAGGCATTTCATCGAACACCTTGTGTGCACTACTAAGTTAAACATGAAATTGGCCAAATTCTTGCACACAAGGGCTCAAACAAGCAAATGGACTTTTCCCAACACAATTCATTCACATCCCATGCATTCCCCTCAATCAATTTCACAAAAATCACATGATTCAATAAGGTTCTCTAACATACCCCTACACACTCAATTCTCCACAATTAACATAGTTAGGGGCAAAATCAAACCTGGAGACTCAAGTAGAGGTGTAGGGGATGATGAGGGGAAGGCAATGGAAGCGACGAAACGCCGTAAAACTGGCCGGAAGTGCTCGTCGGAGCCTCGCCGGAGTCTCGCCGGAAATCGCCTCCGGCGACTAAAACGTCGCCCAAACTCGCTCAAAATCGAGTGATAGGCCGCTTTGGGTGTAGAAAGGGTGGGTTATTTGTTGGTTTGGTGAAAAAATGACCCAAAGTGGCCGAAAAAATCGAAAAAGGGTGGTTTTGGCGCGGTTTTCCGGCGAGGGCAGAGGATTCCGGCGAGATTTTTGGGATTTCTGACCAGAATGGCCGTGCAGGCACGCACGGCCGTGCAGGGGTCGCTTTTGCCCGTGCAGGCCGACACGGCCTGGCCGAGGACTTCGCACGGCCGTGCACCTGGCACATTTGGCCGTGTGATTTTTAGCGAGAGCTCGTACGGCCAGGGTGAAAATTCCACACGGCCGTGCGAGACAAATTGTGCCCGTGCGGGCCACACGGCCAGGCCAAGCTGAGCTGCACGGCCGTGCCTTGTGAACTTTTGGCCGTGCGCTTTTTACCGAGAGCTCGCACGGCCAAGGGGGGATTTCCGCACGGCCAAGGGGGGATTTCCGCACGGCCGTGCAAGATGAGGACCTGGCCGTGGGACATTTTGGAGCCCCGAAATCAACCTGTTTTCACTCAAAAACGAACTTGACTCTGGGGGGTTGCCTCCCCACAAGCGCTTCTTTACCGTCTTTTAGCTGGACGCCAGTATGGATGCTCAGGGAAGTGTAGGATCAGGTGCCTTCAAGAGCGGATCCACATCGCTCTTGAGGTACAGCTTCAAATGGTGGCCATGCACGCGACGAATGTGGCCACCTGCATTTGCCAGCTCGACTTGGCCATCCGGCAGGATGCAAGCGAGTGATACTCGGATGGCCAAGGTGGGGGCGGGACCAGCTCATAGTGGTCTCCGGCTTTCTTTCGAGCAGGCTTGGCTGCCTGCAGTTTCGGCCGCCACTACTCCTTGATCTGTTCTTTTGATGACGGAGTGGTCCGGAGTGGCAACGAAGGTGTGGGAGGCGGGTCCTGCAAAATAGGCAGCACAGAAGGATACACCACAGACTCGTGCTCCTGGTGAGATACAGCATGCAGAGGTAACAAAGCAGGTATAGTGTTAGCAACCGAAAACGTTATTCGCTCCTCGCCATCCCTCAGAACTAAGGTCCCATCATGTACATCTATGAGAGCCTTGGCGGTGGCCAGGAAAGGCCTTCCCAGTATAAGAGGCACCTCTGTGTCCTCATTGATGTCCAGGATATGTGATTTGCCAACCTTAACCAGAAGGTCTTCCACTATGCCGCTAGGATGCACTACAGATCTGTCAGCTAATTGAAGGGTCATCCTAGTAGCACGGGGTTCACCTAGGCCTAGTTTCATGAACAATTTATATGGAATCACATTGATACTAGCACCTAAATCCGCCAAGGACTTCTCTACATGCAATTTATCAATAGAGCACGGGATAGTAAAACTACCTGGGTCCTTTTTCTTCTGCGGAAGCTTGTTCTGCAGAATAGCCGAGCACTCCTCGCTGAGCTCCATAGTGGCCAGCTCACTCAGTATCTGCTTCTTTGAGAGAAGCTCTTTCAGAAACTTCGCATACTTCGGCATTTGCGATAGTGCCTCCAGGAAGGGCACTTGGACATTCAGCTTCTTAAGCATGGCCATGAAGTTTTCGAATTCTGCCTCCAGCCTGTCTTGTGCAACCGAGTAGGGAAAGG